AAGTGGAAGGGGGAGAAAGTAAGGAACTTGTCTGTCGGCCCTGCTTTAAAGACCAAAATTAGCTAAAGAAAATTGTGATAAATAAAAAAGTATACTTAGAGTTTTTCAATTTAAATTATTATACAGAATTCTTGCAGCCAGTGGAATGTTAAATATATGGGGAATACAACCATCCCAGCTCTACTGATTTTTCTGTGAAGACGCAGAATCATTAGATAATTTGTTTTGGTACTGTCCCATATGTAGCTTGTTTTTGGTCGCAAGTTCAGGAATGGCTGAAGAATTGCAACATTTACCTGGAGCTAACTCTGCAAATAGCACTTCTGGATGGTTTTAAAAAGTCATAGTCAATTAATCAATAATATAATCATACTCTTAGCAAATTTTTTATTTTTAATTTACAATATGTAGAGTCTATGAGAATAGAAAGGTTCAGAACTTTTGTGAAATATATGGCAAATAGAAATCAAAACAGGATGGTGTTCAGAGATAGATGGGAGGGGTTGAGTGGAGCTGAAGGATGGGACTAAAAACAAACAAAAGAGAACTATTGTAAAATATACTGTGTCTGTCAAATGTATATAGTATGTATAAGCTGGAAGTAGAAGCCTAAGTGCTGTTGTCCATTAGTTTACTCCAATTAGGGGAGGGATGGTAGGGTTAGGGGAAAATAATAAAGGAAAATATATATATCTTTAAATATATAATTTATATATACAGTACCAGTCAAAAGTTTGGACACACCTACTCATTCAAGGGTTTTTCTTTTTTTTACTATTTTCTACATTGTAGAATAATAGTGTAGACATCAAAACTATGAAATAACACATATGGAATCATGAAGTAACCAAAAAAGTGTTAACCTTTTCACACATGAGTTCCAAATATCTCTAATCGTCGCCCCAGCGTGAATTGTTTTCTGCACGTGATGTCAGAATGCACTAAGTGTTCCAAATGTGATTGTTACACAACAGGACAGTTAAAACACGCTGCCTGCTAATTATCAAACGTTTCAAATTTCAAATGATTTTCTAACAAGTTTTATTTTCTAACAACAGTTTGATTTGAGGTGTGTTCTGTCTCCTCATTAATTCACATAGAAGTAGCCCATTTTAGTTTTGCGGACAATTTATGTTTGTGGCTTTACTGAGCCGGACAAACTTCTCTCTTCGAGGAGAGCCCAAGCACTTCACCAATGTTTCCGCAGATCAAGTATGCAGACATTTGCGCAGTCTTGCACGATTTTGAAATTTTCTGGCTGGCGCTCGCATTGCCTTCCTTGTTGTTTGCCTTACAATTAATAACTTTGGACATGTGTGTGGTCCTATCAAAGTAAGTGCCTTATTTTCTGTATATCGTGTTGTCGTTTCTACTGTAGCATACAGTATGTATGTATGTATGTATGTATGTATGTATGTATGTATGTATGTATGTATGTATAGAGCATAATGTATTTACAGTTTTATTCACATTTTCAAGTACTGGTGACATAATGCATTCCGATTATTGCGTAGATTGTAATGGACACCTATGATTATAATAGCTAATACTAAGCTATTTGCCAGCTATGTGTGGCGCCATGTTTGTTGACATTTCTACAATGCATTCTAGGTGTCACGTAAACGTCTGTCAGACCAAAGATGTTATAATGAGGTGAAGGGTAAACTTCCGGAAGTGAATGATCGTAGACGACACACCCCCTTCAACATGCAAACTGCAAACAGACCAAACTCATCTTGTCTCCTCTTATTGTCTTTGGTTGAGGCGAAAAAACAAACATCGTGGCGCGCACAAACTACCCATCGTCGGATTACTTTCGATTTCTAGAAAGTGTTTTACTAAATTATTTCGATCAAAAAGTTGTCTGTCAGAAGTATTACAATGTAAATTTACTTTTTAACCGCCTGTCTGCATATTTCAAGATATGGCATATGAGGGTGCAGTGAGACACCCGATGGGTTGGACAATACTTTTCTCGTCAATTATCTTGAAAAAATATATACTTCCATATACTGGAAATCAACCAATCCTCCATCGTTAACACAATGGAAAGATCAAATGCTTTATCTACATGTGCGTGGGCGACGGAGAGAGCCCAAAGGACAAAGTAACATGTGATGTTGTTGAATGGAAAGATAGAAAGAGCATGGCGTTTGCAACGCCAGGGTTGTGGGTTCATTTCCCACGGGGGGCCAGTATAAAAAAATATGTATTCACTAACTGTAAGTCGCTCTGGATAAGAGCGTCTGCTAAATGACTAAAATGTAAATGTAAAATGTATGACATGGGGTGCGTGTGTGTGCAAAATAGAGCATGCACAAAACATGCATTCTCTCTAAGCTTCCTTGTTCTGGTTGCATCCCCAGGCTGGATTTGAGCTGGTGTCTGTGGATGGAGTGTTCCTGCAGGGTGACACTGACCCCCATGCTGTGGATATCATCCACAGGGCCTTCAGCAACAAGGCCAAAGACCCCATGATGTGCATAGTCGAAGCCCCAAAAATCCCTTGACTAAAGACTGACTCACTGCCCAGAAAAACGGGGTTTGGCCTGGAGTTCCAAGACCTAAAGCCTAGGAGCAATACAAACAGAAGCTCCACAGGCTATAGTGTGTTGGAATAATGGCAGAAGAGTGAGGAGTGTGAAGGTATTATGTGGGCTAATAGGAAACTTCTGTTCCCACTATGGTGACCCAGGAGGATCTGGCCAATCAGACGAGGGAAGTAAGAGACCTGCATCCACGGGAACCAGCAGCCAGTGACTTGTGTGCGGTCCTAAAGCATCAAGCCACTCTGAGCCAATAGTAGACCAGTTCACACAATCCTTCCTTTTACATTAGTTATGTATTATTTATCACATCGGACACTTTCATAAATTATGCAAAAAAAATATACACGTCTATATATAGACATTTCTTAGAACAATACTTAAATCATTAAACACACCGGCTAATTTATGCAAACTGTAATCCAAGTGCTTTCCAGGACTGCTGTGAACTGAACTAATGGTTGTCTGTCGGAGCCAGTGTGGAGAGGTGGTTGGGAATGCTGCTTGTGACCAGAAGATGGCAGGCTTGGATCAGATCCACCTGTCAGTTGATGGTAATGTATAGAGGCACCGAGCCATGAACATATAGTGATCATCTTGATATCAGGTGTAAACATGCCCTAAGTTTCTCATTCTTGGCATCAAGAGAAGTGTCTACAGGCTACACAATCTAGATACAGGAGGAGAGTGACATGTTATCACAATGTATGTGTATAAACGGGGCTTAACATAAAATAAAAGAGCAACTGATATTTTTTTACTTCTGTGGCTTGATGTTCCTTGTCTGACCTAATAGAATCAACCACTCAATACATGCTTTTTGATAATTACATTGATTAAATTATGTAACAAATGTCATAAAATGAAGTTGAGCCAGCCATCAGTAATCCATTTGAAAAGCAGCTATTCGTTTTATCGTTTGTTTTATTAAAAACAGTCAGTTGGTACAAGAAATTTACAGCATGAAAATATACATTTAATATCTTCATACAAATACTGTGGATAAAAAATTTGTATTATAGAACCATGAGTAGCATTCACACATACACCAATATGCAGACATGGTACTGTAAAGAACCAACTGGACATGTGACATTGCTTTGGTCTATTCACAGTAGCTATGTTTATTTTGAAATAGATAATATCTCTGTAAGAAATCTATTATATATCACCATATAACGATGTCAGTATTAAGGATATCTACAATGAAGGGTTAACAGCGATATGGGACATTTAAGTGTCTTCCTCTTGTGAATGGGTGTGCTTTTTTTATACAGAAGTTGATGAAAAGATAAGTCATATCATGGTTAGTCTAATTTCACTTTATAAAAGGCTACGGGCTCTATTAAATCTGTATCACTGAAGCGTTACAGATTGCGCGATAGAAATGTAAAGGTCATTTTCGATTGTTCCGACCTATACAGCGTTTAACGTGAATGCAGTCTCTGCTTACGCGGGAACATTGCCTTTCAATTTCAATTACGCTGTTACGCGGAATTTCTGTGATATGGATTAAATAGAGCCCGAAACATATATCACTTAGTCCATGTCCTCTCTCACAGCCTATACAAAAAGCACCTTCACAAACAGCCAGTGCAGCATACAAATATTGACAGAGAAACACAAATATCCATAGAGATGAATCCATCCATGCTTTTGTACTTCGGTGAAGGGAGATCAAAGGTAAAGTAGCTACTCTTCACAACAATAGAAAGCATATCTGAGTGTGCTTTAGTGACTTTTACCTTGAATTTCCACGGTTTCTGGTTTGCTAGCTAGAGATACTGTGTAGATACAGAAATTCAAGACCACTAAGGTACATATTTAGATACTTAAATGTGTCACATTGAATGAGGAGACTTTTGGTAATGGTAAAATGTTTTGCCATTGAACCTGTAGTATCTGAAAACAACATGCCGAAGAACACTAGTGTTATCAAGCTCTGCCTACCAAGAACACGAGACCACCCACAGTGAATAAGGAGGAAGTACAAATTCCTAGGGAGTAGGAAGAGAGCCGAGCCTCCCCATGTGTTTACATGATGTTCAGTGAGTCATTCTAGGAATAGCTCAAAAAGGCAGGACGTACTCCCTCCATGCTGTACGAGACTCATCCGACTTCAAAATCACTCTCCCGGTAGGTGAACTCTCATTCAGTCACATCAGATCCCTATGCCTGTGAGTGACAGAAGGGTGTGTGTGTAGCGACATTAGCCAGTGGGAGTCAACCATACTAATGAGACAGTGAGACGGCGTGGAAGAGCAGGAACATACAGAGAGTAGACCAACTATAGACAGATTACTACATACTGTAGAGACCCTGAAGGACATATACTGAAGGATCCTGACCTACTAAGTAATTATAGAGGCTATCTGGCTTCCTATAGACACTCCTAGGGGATCAGATGCATATGGCTGATAGAGACGGAGAAGGAGACACAGAGAGGTGGTGGTGTCAGATCTCAGTAGCAGTGATCTCGTCAAAGTTGATCTCGTTGCCGCTGCCTTCATCCTGCTCCTCCAGCTCGTCCCGGGTCTCCAGTTCTAGACTGAGCTTGCGCAGCATGCGCTCCAGCGCCCGGTTCCTCCGGTACATCCCCACGTAGTTCTGCTGCAGCTGCTTCTGATACTGGATCACCTTGTCCTTTTCCTCCTGCCAGACCCTGTGCTCCTTCTCAAAGCTGCACGCCTGCTCCTCTCCCCGCTGGCGTTCTGTGGCTAACTCCGCCCCCAGACCGTCCATCTGCAGCCGGAGGCTCTGGAGGGCCTCGCTCTCATACGCCCTGGCCTCGTCGCTTTTATAGGTCAACAAGTGTGGCTCCTCCCCCTCCGGGAAGGCCTGGCACTGTCTGCCTCCACCACCATTGTGGGTGGGGCTCTGGAGGCTTGTCTGATTGGCAGCAGCATGGAGGCGGGCCATCTCCTCCTCCAGTCGGCCCACCTTCTGGCGGAGGAGCTGGGCCTCACTCTTGCGGCGCTGCAGCTCGTTCTGGCACACCTCCAGCTCCATGGTGCGTGTGTGGCCGGCAGTGGTTGCCTCTTGCAGCAGGGTCTGGCTGGTGGTGATCTCGCCACGGGAGTCCCGAAGCTGTCCACGCAGAGAGACGATCTCCCCCATGCGCTGAGCCAGCTCCCCCTGGACATCCTTCAGCTGCTGCTTCAGCAGGGAGATCTCCCCAGACTTCTGACACACCTGGAGGAAACACAACTAGTGTCATATATAGAGGACTTACACCACAAAGTCCTATGAATATATGAGGGAATATGACAATATACACAGTGTACAAAACATTAGGAAGTCGTTCCATGACTTAGACTGACCAGGTGAATCCAGCAGAAAGCTATGATCCCTTATTGATGTCACTTGTAAATCCACTTCAAATCAGTGTAGATAAAGGGGAGAAGACGGGTTAAAGAAGGATTTTAAAGCCTTGAGACATGGATTGCGTATGTGTGCCATTCAGAGGGTGAATAGGCAAGACAAAATATTTAAGTGCTTTTGAACAGGGTATGGTAGTAGGCGCTAGACGCACCGGTTTGTGTCAAGAACTGCAACACTGCTGGGTTTTTCACACTCAACAGTTTCCCGTGTGTATCAAGAATGGTTCACCACCCAAAAGACATCCAACCAACTTGACACAACTGTAGGAAGCATTGGAGTCAACATGGGCCAGCATCCCTGTGGAACACTTTCTCCACCTTGTAGAGTCCATGCCCCTACATATTGAGACTGTTCTGAGGGCAAAAGGGGGTGCAACTCAATAATAGGAAGATGTTCCTAATGTTTGTACACTCAGTGTATGAGGGAATACATTCGAGAGAGAGCGAGAAGCTTGGTGTCTTTGTTATGTGATTAATGCCGGTGCGACACTGTGCCAGGCTCTAGCACGTCAAACATGCCTGGGGCAGCACATTACTGAGGGTACCATTTGTACTACACTATCGGTGACCCATTGTACTAAATCATTTAATTTAATTGCCTGTCCGACTGTGACAAAAAAGACTCAAAAGGAATTACAGCGGTATTTATAGATTGTGTAAAATTCACTATCTTTATTGTCTATACTGGAGTACCTGAGTAGACACATACTGCTAGCATTGGGGCAGACCCTCAGCCGCTTCATCTACAAGATCTACAGAAGTGCCTAAGACCTAGGAGGTAGGGACTAGGGGTGGATTTGGAATGGGGCCACAGACAGTATGAGGGTCCATCTAACCTCCCACGTGGTCTCCTCCAGCCTGGGCCCTAGCTGGATCTTCTCGTGCTCGTAGGAGGTACAGCGCTCTTCCAGCTTCTCCCTCTCCTGCAGCAGCTGGCCGAAGTCCTCCTGGAGCTTCTTCTTCTCCTGCTGCAGGTGGAAGACCTGCAGTTGGAGCACCTGCTGGGCACGCTGGGCCTTCTGGGACTGGGTCTGCATCCGTGTGGCGCAGCTCTGACGCAACTCCTCCAGCTCCAGCTCACAGCGCTTCTGCTTCTCCTCATAAACCTGGGGAAAGAGGGGATACAGGGGAGACCAGGGGTGGGTAGGCGAGGGTGGCATTGTGTGAGGGTTTCATTGTGTGTGTGCATGCATGCGTGTGTGTGTGTGGTGATTGTAATGGATTGAGTGTCCCAATAAGTCATGACATTTGTCATTTTGTGTGTGATAGTACATGGTGTGAGAGAGGGCGCAAGAGGGAGAGGAGCTTGGTGTCTTCATGCATTTTACAATATAAGACAAGATAATGTTTCCAATGCTCTTCGGTCCATCTTCCCACGTACCTGGCAGATAGCCACTTCGTTCTCGTCCAGGTTGTCTCGGAGCTGCTGCAGCTCCACGTCTCTCTCCCTCAGCTTATCCTCCAGGTCCCTCACCACCCCCTCGTACCCCCCCTCCACAGGGGCTGGCGAGCGCCCGCTTGACCCGCTGTCTGACAGGGGCTGGCTGCGTCCGCTCACCGACCCTGTGCTCTTACTGGACGAGGAGCGCCCGCTGTCCGAGTTGGAGTGCCCGTGTGCAGTCTTCAATGGCTCCAGGTGGCCACTACCAGGCGGGGTGTCTGCGGGCGCCAGGCTGTAGGGGATGCTACCATAGGGGGGCAGGCTCGACAGGGAGTTCCGTCCAGAGTCAGACATGGAGCAGGTCTGGCTGCCCCCGCCCGTGTGGCGCCCGCCGTTGCGATTCTCCGAGCAGGGCGACAAGGTGTCCATTTGGCTACCAGGTGACAACAGGTTGAGGTTGTTCTGGCAGTCTGATAGACTGGCCCTGTCGTGGCGAGGGGAAAGGAACTGCATGGAGTTGCGGCTCTTGGGGACGACGGGTTTGAAGGCAGTCGGCCGGATCACTGTTTTCTCCATGTTCTGAGAGGGAAAGACCAAATGGTTTGTTGGGTAAGAGGTTGTAAATAATGTATATTCAGTGAATGTTTGATTCATTTCTTCTAATCGTGTTATTGTGAGAGTGGATTGATCTACTGTACATTCAAAGAGACAATGACTGTTCCATATAGCCTGAACAAGGCCACACTCACCTTCTCCAGCTTCCCTGACACGGGGACCAGTTTGGGCGGGGGTTCTTCCATGTTCCTGTTGAGGCTCCCCAGCTGCCCATCCTTGGCCTTCCCTGTGTCAATCCCGGCCCCAGGGCTTCCATGAACCACAGTGTTTTCATTCCAGTCTCCCACATAGTCCTGGTTCAGATACGAGTAATTCCCAATGGTCCCGCTGTCCTTACTGGAGCCAATCACCATCAAGGGCTTCCTGTTGCCAGGCGGAGTGAAGTTACTGAGCAGTGGATCCTGGGATGTGTCAACGGAGGCCAGGCAGGAAGTGGCGCCCAACGTGGTTCTGTGGAGCCTGGTGGCGCCCGGCTCGGGGCCAACATCAATGGGCCGGTAGTGACGAACCAGGTGGGCCGGGCCGGGGCGGTGGGCGATGAGGCTGCTGACGGAGCCCATGGCCTCCTTGGAGTTGGAGGGTAGGTTGGGGGGCGTGTGGGGGGCAGAGGGGCGGCAGTGGGGGGTTCCGCTGAGGCTGGGGGTGTGGTGGCGCTCAGCAGGGATGGACAGAGCCTGAACCAGGGCCATGGTGGCTGTTGCTCAGTGGGACACCCACACGATCTGGGGGACAGAGGGAGAAACAGGTACACAGTCAGTCAAATGATTACCCCTACCTACATGCACATATTACCTTAATTACCTCAAACTAACCTGTACCCCCGCACATTGACTCGGTACCGGTACCCCCTCTATTTAGCCTCGTTATTGTTATTTTATCGTTGCTCTTTTATTTTTTACTTTAGTTTATTTAGTAAATATTTTTCTTAACTGCATTGTTGGTTAAGGTCTTGTAAGTAAGCATTTCACGGTAAGGTCTACACCTGTTGTATTCGGCGCATGTGACAAATAAAATGTGATGTGATTTTGATTTGATTTGAATGGGAACTTTCAAAGCAGCAAAGCAATAAAGCTTTACAGTAGGAATATTAGGAACATACACCAGAGGGTGCATATTTGGACTATCGAACCATCCAGGGTCGTGTTCAGGAGGGCTCAGCGCTCTGAACGTTGCAGATAGAAATGTGTTCTATAGAGACAGGACTCCATGATTCCCTAAAGAATGTTCACAGACATACTTCGCTGTGAAGTAAAATATTCTACATTACAGAAAACTTTGACTCTGGTAAAACCATAAAAACTGCATGGATACAAACTACAGTTAAATGAACATCAGGTAGACATACAGCCACACAGACAGAGCAGCACAAACATGGGCTTCAGGCCTCATATCGGAAATGGTCTCTGACGGGAAGCAACTGTCTGTCTCCCTACATTCCTTCAACCTCCTTTCAAAACAATGACATGCAAACTAGGGGGAGAGAATTACAATCGTAGGGTACTCAATTGGTAATGATATCTCATTCAAAAGTCAAAAGCTACTGTTCATGAACAGGTAAGTAAACAACCATTAGTGATTTGATTTGATTTGATTTATTAGGACCCCCATTAGCTGATGCCAGTGAGGTACCAACCAGTGATCTCATCTAAATCAGATGATCTACTCATCCAAACAGCGATACTACACAGTACACAGACTGACATCATCAGTCCCAAGGCACAGCATTTGGTGGTGACAGGAATACAATAGTAGACAGGAGATAGGCACTGTGTTTGCTGGCACGTAGCTGTGCATGTTAAATACATCATCACTACTGTATGAGTCATCCAGAGCGGATGTCCCAGGGACAGGTGTGTCCTGTTGGAGAAAGTTGAGTGTCAGAGCTCTTCGAAGTCAGGATCTAAACTCAGATACTGCGCTAGCCCTAAACTATGTAAAGTCATTTTCCACATGTACTTTGGGACTAGAATGTGTTAGTGAAACTGTGTCAGTTGTAGCCCTGTCACACATAGTTGTATGAATGCCTTCTGTATACACATTAGGGTTGTAACGGTTCACCAAACTCACGGTTCGGTGCTTATTTTGGTTTTGGGGTCACGGTTCGGTATCGGTACAGTGGGAAAATGAAATGCCAACAGTTACTGTCAAAGTTGTATTTATTTAAGAAAATACAAGCTGTTGGTATTCCTGATTGTGAAAACAATCATGAAAACCAACACAGAAAAATAAAGTGCAATATGTGTGTGAAATCAATATGTAAACATGGCCTATACTATACATACATACATACACTATGATTTTCTTACAAAGAGAAAAAGATGCACGCTTGTGTGCACTGCTTTGTCATAAAGGGGGTGTGTCTATAGCAAGGTACTTCTCATCTCCCACTCTGGGGTAATGTGATGGCTGATGGGCTGTCACTGTCAAGTAGCTCTCTGTAGCCCTGGAGGTCCATCCATCTGTAGTAAGCACAACACTGACTACATTGGCCAATTCATTGACAACGTCGGCTTTGGCTTGCTTATACAGTGCATTCAGAAAGTATTCAGACCCCTTCCCCACATTTTGTTACGTTACAGCCTTATTCTAAAATTGATTAAATTAATGTTTTTCCGCATCAATCTAAACACAATACCCCATAATGACAAAGTGAAAACAGGTTTTTAGAAATGTTTGCAAATGTATTAACAATAAAAAACAGAAATACCTTATTTACATAAGTATTCAGACCCTTTGCTATGAGACTCAAAATTGAGCTCAGGTGCATCCTGTTTCCATTGATCATCCTTGACATGTTTCTACAACTTGACTGGAGTCCACCTGTGGTAAATTCAATTGATTGGACATGATTTGGAAAGGCACACACCTGTCTATATAAGGTCCCACAGTTGACAGTGCAGGTCAGAGCAAAAACCAAGCCATGAGGTCGAAGGAATTGTCCGTAGAGCTCCGAGACAGGATTGTGTCGAGGCAAAGATCTGGGGAAGGGTACCAAAACATGTCTGCAGCATTGAAGGTCCCCAAGAACACAGTGGCCTCCATCATTCTTAAATGGAAGAAGTTTGGACCCACCAAGCTCTTCCTAGAGCTGGCCGCCTGGCCAAACTGAGCAATCAGGGAAGAAGGGCCTTGGTCAGGGAGGTGACCAAGAACCCGATGGTCACTCTGACAGAGCTCTAGAGTTTCTCTGTGGAGATGGGAGAACCTTCTAGAAGGACAACCATCTCTGCAGCACTCCACCAATCAGGCCTTTATAGTAGAGTGGCCAGACGAAGCCACTCCTCAGTAAAAGGCACATGACAGCCCGCTTGAAGTTTGCTAAAAGGCATCTAAAGGACTCAGACCATGAGAAACAAGATTGAACTCTTTGGCCTGAATGCTAAGCGTCACGTCTGGAGGAAACCTGGCACCATCCCTACGGTGAAGCATGGTGGTGGCAGCTTCATGCTGTGGGGATGTTTTTCAGCAGCAGGGACTGGGAGACTAGTCAGGAGTGAGGGAAAGATGAACAGAGCAAAGTACAGAGAGATCCTTGATGGAAACCTGCTCCAAAGCTCTCAGGACCTCAGACTGGGGCAAAGGTTCACCTTCCAACAGGACACCGACCCTAAGCACACAGCCAAGACAACACAGGAGTGGCTTCGGGACAAGTCTCTGAATGTCCTTGAGTGGCCCAGCCAGAGTCCGGACTTGAACCCGATCTAACATCTCTGAAGAGACCTGAAAATAGCTGTGCATCGACACTCCCCATCCAACCTGACAAAGCTTGAGAGGATCTGCAGAGAAGAACGGCAGAAACTCCCCAAATACAGGAATGCCAAGCTTGTAGCGTCATACCCAAGAAGACTCGAGGCTGTAATCACTGCCAAAGGTGCTTCAACAAAGGACTGAGTAAAGGGTCTGAATACTTATGTAAATGTCATATTTAAATTTTTATTTTCAAAAATTGCGTTGTCGTTATTGGGTAGTGTGTGTAGATTGATGAAGGAAAAAAAAACAATTTAATCCAATTTAGAATAAGACTAATGTAACAAAATGTGGAAAAGCCAAGGGGTCTGAATACTTTCTGAATGCACTGTATAGACCAGGTACTACCGGTTTGCGGAAATGTGTGTGAGGGAAGTTAGTAAAGTGTCTGGAGCACTTTTACGAGGTATTGAAACCCCCTATTCTAAACCACAGAGAATGGGCGCATATCCGCGGCTATAAACACCTATCGCGCTTGTCATTTATTTTGGCCCGGTTAGAATCAGCTGTGAAGGGCTGCGTGTGGTTATGTGGTTCGGTACAAATACGTGTACCGTTACACCCCTAATAGACATGCATCAGCGCACATGTGTTAAGATCAGGACAATGATTAAATGGGACTGTGGCATGTCTATCAACCAGCCAGTTCCTCATTATTAACAGCCAGACAGTTTGGCACCAGACGGCCACTGCTGGCTCTGCCCACGCACTGTGCCACCCTGCCAAGACAAACAGCCTACAACTGAGGTTTAACTCAGTTCTAATTCTACATTCTAATTAGCACAGAGAGGTAATAAATGTGACCTCTACTTATTGTATTGGATCATCACAGATGGATAAAGAAAGTTAGGCCAGTTGCATGACAAACAGACATAGGCCTACATACAGTAAAGTACACAGTATTCTGTAGAACATCTGTACGTGCATTGTCATAAACACACACATTCACTCTATTACAAATGTGTGCTTGCAGCAGTACACTAAACCTTTAACACACTATTTTGGGAGGACAGGTTTGCAGGTTGACTGCTATGCCCTTTTCCATGCATTCCACCCGTAGTAGTTTGGGGCCCAGTTGTCTTCTTCTGAAGCTGTAATCCCTGAACTATGGCTGAGACTGTCCAGACTAGAGAGTAGTAGATTAGTGTTTCTCAGCGCATTCCTAGGAAAACACACCAGATTCAAAGAATCAACTAGTCTCCTATACAGCTTTGATAGCCCCCATACCACATGTCCTGTTTTTGTTTCACATGATTGGGGGCGGACTCGTAGAGGGCAGGGCCCTTTCCTTAGCATCTCAAAGCCTCTGAAGGAGACCAGATAGACAGATCACACTGACTCACATAGGCCTAGTTTACCAATAACCCTCAAGTCAGCACTGCTTTTTGTCATGGAGGAAATTGGCACCAAAATACAGCTATGTTTCTCATTCCACTCAGCTGACTGCAGCTTTGAAGATGTTCTCTGAGCAGATTGTTTTTGTCTGTCTGGGAAAAGCCTAGGAGGTATTTGGACAGGCAGCCACGTCTGCTATAACGACTTGTTTCCCAGTTCAATAACATTGGTAGGTGGAAGGGCTCCAGACTAGTTCACTGTGATTTAACAACCACTGCGTGTCATCGTTCACATGACACGGCTATAGGGGTGCTCCGTAATGGGAAATGAAGCAATGGCAGCTTACCCCTCAGGTATTTTTTTAGACATAATTTTAACTAATCAAATGGACATGTCTTTGGCAGATTTGGTAAAACAAAGTTTGCCCTATCTTTATCTTCTCCAGATGCAGGGGGTTATACGGTAGACTACTGGACTGATAGATGCAGGGGGTTATACGGTAGACTACTGGACTGATAGATGCAGGGGGTTATACAGTAGACTACTGGACTGATAGATGCAGGGGGTTATACAGTAGACTACTGGACTGATAGATGCAGGGGGTAAT